GGAGGAGAGAGAGAGATGTAGCCCTTGGGAGATGCCAGAATGATGGCCGCTGATGATGAGGGGGAAGGTGATGGTGATGAGGAAGATGATAGCTCACATTTCAGGTTGTCCTGCAAGGGATGGTGTAAGTAGACAGATGTTCAAATGTACGTTCTGTAGTCTCTCTATCTACCTTGATGGGGTAGAGTGTTTGTGACTTTGCAAAATGTATTAATAAACTGTTTGTAAATATAGAAGAGTTCCTACAGTGTGAGTGTTGCAACTGTGCACACTGGGGTTCACAACTATATAGTAATTTTAATAATACTGGGCCTGATCTTGAGACAAGGATCTGCCTACCATCAAAGTGACAACTGGGAATTCTTAAGTAATCAACATAATTAATACTAGTACTGTCGACTAATCGCAGTTAACTCACATGATTAACTAAACATTAATCACGATTAAAATAATAAATCACAATTAATCGCAGTTTTAATTGCACTGTTAAACAATAGAATACCGATTGAAAAGTATTAAATATTTTTGGATGTTTTACTACATTTTTAAATATACTGATTTCAATTACAACACAATACAAACTCGACAATGCTCACTTTATATTATTTATTACAAATATTTGTACTGTAAAAATGGCGAACAAAAGAAATAGTATTTTTCAATTCACCTCATACAACTACTGTAATGCAATCTCTTTATCTTGTAAGTGCACCTTACAAATGTAGATTTTTTTGTTTGTTACATAACTGCACTTAAAAAAAAAAAAAAACACATGTAAAACTTTAGAGCCTACAAGTCCACTCGGTCCTACTTCTTGTTCAGCCACTTGTTAAGACAAAGAAGATTGTTTACATTTACGGGAGATAATGCTGCCCTCTTCTTATTTACAATGTCACCTGAAAGTGAGAACAGGTATTTGCACGGCACTTTTTTAGTCGGCATTGCACGGTATTTACGTGCCAGTTATGCTAAACATTCGTATGCTTCTTCATGCTTCTACCACCATTCCAGAGGACATGCTTCCATTATTGGGAAGCATTATCTCCTGCAAATGTAAACAAACTTGTTTGTCTGAGCAATTGGCTGAATAAGAAATAGGACAGAGTGAACTTGTAGGCTCTAAAGTTTTACATGTGTTTTTTTTTTTAAGTGCAGTTATGTAACAAAACAAAAAATCTACATTTGTAAGTTGCACTTACAAGATAAAGAGATTGCATTACAGTAGTTGTATGAGGTGAATTGAAAAATACTATTTCTTTTGTTTTTTACAGTGCAAATATTTGTGATTAAAAATAAATATAAAGTGAGCACTGTACACTTTGTATTCTGTGTGGTAACTGAAATCACTATATTTGAAAATGTAGACAATATCCCAAACTATTTAAATAAATGATATTCTATTATTGTTTAACAGTGCAATTACTCAGGATTATTTTTTTTAATTGACTGACAGCCCTAATTAATACATAATCTATAGATCAGCTACAATGGGTGCATTAACCATGTTTACACTGTTAGATTTCCTTTACATTCATAAATTCCAAGGTTAGAACACTGTGATAATCTAGTCTGACCCCCTATGTAACACAGGCCATAAACTTCCTCAAAATAATTCCTAGAGCAGATCTCTTAGGAAACTATCCAATCTTGATTTAAAAATTGCCAGTGATGGAGAATCCACCACAACCCTTGGTAAACTGTTGCAATGGCAAATTACTCATTGTTAAAAATGGATGCCTTATTTCCGGTCTGAATTTATCTAACTTCAATTTCCAGCCATTGGATCATTTTATCCTTTTCTCTGGTATGCTGAAGAGCCAATTGTCAACTATTTGTTCCTCATGTAGGTATTCATGCACTGTAAGTTACAGGTGTGTGTGTGTGTGTGTGTGTGTGTGTGTGTGTGTGTGTGTGTGTGTGAATGCTGAAAAACAAGTATAAATGTATGTGTGCCTTATCTAAAAAACTAGCTTGAGTGTATGCTTATAGCAGTTTATCTATACAAGATGGCTTGAATGTATGCTTCATCGTCTTGGGAAGGAGGAGGGATGGGTGGATGTTGGTGTTGTGTGTTGAAGGGAATTAGCAGCATCCTTATCTCAAAAGTAATCAACTGTTTTTTACATAAAATAGTTCAAACTAAATAGTCATTTTGTCTACAGTTGGGTGTATTAACCAATTTTACATTGTTAGATTTCTTTTAAGTTAGTCTGTGTATACGTGCATGTTTGGTATAAAATAATGCTGAAAAACAAGTGTGAACATGTGCATGTGAGTGGGTGACTTATCTATATAATAATATAGAACTATTTTGAATGTATCCTTACAATGGTTTATCTATAAAATAGTATACAAGTTGTCCTGAATGTATCCTTAATTGCTTTAGGAAATAGAGCAGGGTGGGGTGGGGAGGCATGAGTGGTGCTGTGTATTTTTTATAGATGTAAGCAGAGTCAGGATGAGCTCTACCCTGACATCTGGTGGAGAATTATGGCGAGTGTGGAAAAGAACTCCAGGGGCTGATCTTGTTTGCATAGGCACACCCACTCGCCTGGCATGAAACACAGCAACTGAAAATGGTTACTTTGGCTGGTGTGGGATCCCCAGTTTCTCTATTATTGGGGCGGGAAGAATAAAGTTTTGTTACCCTGATTCTGTGTATCAAGGCCAGTGGAACTGTTGTATGACAGAAGGACTGAGTGAGTCCCTCACCATTACCTAAGTAGCACTTGCTTGACAAGGGGCATGGGTTACAAAACCCAGTGAATTGAGAGAGGATGGGGACAGGTATTTGTACCTGATGGTATGGGCCCCCTCTGAGGGTTTGAAACACCAATTGCACTGCCTCCTCTCTCCACTGTTGAATGTCAGAGCTAACTTTGATTCCCTTAGGAGTCTAGTTACAGGCTGCTGAGCTGAATTCACTTTGGGCCAATGGTGCACCAGCACTGGGGCTCCCCTACTATACTATGAGCTGAAATCGCTAAGAGCTGAAATCACAAAAGAGCTGATGTTATTAAGAGCTGAGATCACTGAGTGCTGTGTTAACTAATGGGGGAGCCTGAAGCTATATTGCTCAGCAGCTGGCGGAGCAATTTGTGGGGACGACTGGAGGAGCAGCGAGCGGCGTGGAGCCTTGCGGGGCCGGTTGGAGTGGCCCAAGGAACGGTGAGCGGAGCTGTTTGTGGGGACGGCTGGAACGGCTCACAGGTCGGTGAGCGGAGCAGAGCAGCTTGTACAGCGGAGCAGTTTGTGGGATGGCAGGAAAGTGGACTGGCTCGTGGTAAAGGCTGCGGCGGAACCCCCACGGAGAAATAGACGGCTGGCCAGCCTCAGATCACGTAAGGTGCCCCTTAACACCCTGCGTGCCCCCCCCCCTTTTACTCTGGGACTGCACTGACCAGGGACAGAGACTTTGGGGGTTGTTGGACTTTTGGGACTTTGGGTGGTTGCTGGACCCAAGAGACTTTGGGGGTGTCGGACTTTGGGGACTCTGGGTGATTTTTGGGTTGCTGGATTCAAGAACCAAAGGGAAAAGGACACAGCCCAATTTGCTGGGGTGGGTTTTGCTCATGGTTTGTGTTGTGAATCCTGTTTTGTGGTGTTTTTCCAATTTTATGCTGATGTCGTTTACCTCATGTTATTAAACATTTTCTGCTACACTCAGACTCCGTGCTTGCGAGAGGGGAAGTATTGCCTCTTAGAGGTACCCAGGGGGGGTGGTATGTAATTGTCCCAGGTCACTGGGTGGGGGCTCGAGCCGGTTTTGCATTGTGTTATTGAAACGGAACCCCTAGATACAGAACCCGGCCCTTGTTGCTGCCAACTAGATGGGCAGAAGGGTTACATATAGCGAGAGAGAGAGAGAGAGATCTCTCTCATAGAACTGGAAGGTTATCAAGTCCAGCCCCCAGCCTTCACTAGCAGGACCATGTACTGATTTTACCCCAGATCCCTAAGTAACCCCCCTCAAGGATTGAACTCACAACCCTGGGTTTAGGAGGTTAATGCTCAAACTACTGAGCTATCCCTGCCCCCCGGTTTCTGTGTTGTATGTTGTATGTTTTGCTGAAGTCTTTTAAATTTATCTGTCCTTCAAAAACTTTACTAAAATTAAGAGGCTCTAATGCAATTTAAGCCAATAGGTGTTAATTTCCAATAAATACAAAAGGCTGTGAAGAACTACATTACTTTAAGTAGGAATAAGTGAAATTGTTCTAAAGATTAGGTACATCTTTCATTGGAGTCTATCTGCCAGTTTTTAAAAAACAAATGCTAAAGGAATAATGTAGAAAAAGGAAATTTTTATTCCTGGTGCAAAATTAAAAACAAGACTAATTGCTAAATGTTCATAGGTTTTGTAAAAAGTTTGATAAAGAAATCTACATGCATGCTCCTTTTGGAGGGTGGGTCATATTTCTTCAAATAAAAGCTAAAACACAAGGAAAAGAAGGGGTTAAGGTGGCAGCATGTGCCAGCATTCTTGTCTCTGTCCTTTCAACAGTTAGAAAACCTTTCAGATTTGTAATAAATAATAGTGAAATAAAATAATTAAAAATAAAAGACCTGCTGCCTTTGCATTCTTAGAGATAATGAGAAAACCACATTTCAAGTTAAACAGGAATTGCTGCAATGAAACCAGGGGAGAATGTGTGGTAATTTTAAGGCAGATATTGGGAAATATTTGGGTGTAGCTCAGTGTTTACAATCCCTTCCCCAAGCACAAAGAGAGTCACACCCCTATTAGAGGTGTTGAAACTGGTGATGAATCAAGAAATTGCCAGACCAGGAGGAACCAATTACCGTAATTAATAGGGGTCGGGGAGTTATTTGTTTTCTGCTTTTCTGGTGTCCACAGAGCACTAGACACATAATGATATTTAAAGTACTCTTTCTCTTACTACTGACAATATTACATTGTTTTATTTTGTTTTGTTCCTTTCTTCCCTGCTCTCCCCTCACAAGCCTGACAATGGTAAACTCCACATTATACAAATCATATGACTGTGTGAGTATATAATATCAGATGTCTGAGTGTTCTTGGTCACATTTGCTCTAGATTTTGTTTGTCAGAGTTTCCAAACATCCTAAGAAGTTATTTGCCACTATGATTGCTGGAGGCTTAACCGAGATCAAGCCCGCGACTCCAGAAATCCAAGAGATTGCTGACCAGGTGAGTTGCATCCAATGAAAGATGCAAAACAGAAACTAGTTGATTAGAAGCATGTAGTATGTGGCATGGAAAATTTGCTTAAGAAGTGACTGCACTGACTCCAGTCCAGGAAATTCTTAGATTTGTATCTGCTAAGGCCAGAAGGGACCATCTAGTTTGACATCCTGTATAGCACAGGCATAGAACTTTTCAATCTTTTAATCCATTTAATGTGGCCATGTTAATTTTGTATCGTAATGGTTTTTTAATTAAAATGTCATGCGATATCAAGTGTCATACAGAAGTCTAGGTCTATTACATCAATGCTATTACCTTTATCAACCAAATTTATAATCTCATAAAAAAAAAAAAGATATCAAGTTAGTATGACAGGATCTATTTTCCATAAAGCCTCATTGATTGGCATTAAGTATCCTTTAATTCTTTATTAATCGAGTCCCATATAAGCTGCTCCAATATCTTGCCCAAGATCAATGTCAGACTGGCAGGCCTATAATTGCTGGGTTATCCCATTTATCCTTTTTAAATATTGACACAACATTACTTTTCTTCCAGTTTTCTGACCCTCTGCTTTCTGTCTTCTGGGAGCTCTAGAGACATTCAGAGACCTCTGTGGCACAGCTAGAAATATAGGAAAGACAGAAAGCTCTAATGGTCAGTACAGGCATCTGAAGCTGAGTCTACACTGCCTAATTAACTACCAGTGCAGTTCCAGTAGCAGTGGTAGAAGCACCTCTGTCTACAAGGTTTTAGGTGTGCCATCGCACCCTGATCTGTACAGAACTGGCTGACAGGGTAGCAAAAATATCAGTGTTCTGCCTCCACTGGTACTTGTGTAGTTGGGCTAGTGGAGCTGCACCGGCGGTGAATTGGAGGTCCCATTTGCTAATGCAGAGCAAGCCAGGGAGTCAGGCTTTTGTTCCTGGTGCCAGGGCTGGTTCTAGTGTCTCATTACTGGGGGGCAGAGGGGAGTGGGTATTTCAGGGTTCCTATAAACAAATAACCTTCTAGGAGTCCAGGGGCTAGTTGGATCCCTGGAAAATCTTGGATTTTAAGAGTTTAAGAAAGTAGAAATTAGCTACTTTGTCAGTATTTTCCTGTGATTTATATCTTTGGCCTTTCTAACGATTTAGGGCCCCTTGAAGGTTATTTGGGCTAGGGGGTGAGGGGGAAATGTCCTGGGCCTGCCTGGCTCTGCTGTGGACTCGCTGTGTGACCCTGGTCAAATCACTTCACCTCTTTGTGCTTCAATTTCCTCAGATGTAAAATGAAGGGGGTGGGAGTGGGGGATAACACTTCCCTTCCTCACATGGGGACTGTTTAATTCATTGAGATTCTTCCTCGAAAGGCACTATAGACCTACAAAATATTACTGCTGTTGTGTGTATGCTGACTGTAAAAGGTAGCAGATGGTCTCTGTCCAAAAAATCTGAGAATCCAAGTTTAAATGTGCACCCAGCATATGTCAGAAATGAGGCCACAATACTTAGTTTTCAGTGGACACAAATAGGGCGCAAAAGGTGAATCTTCAAGTCAGATTCTGCTTTCATTCACACAGGGGTCAATTGAGGTTTTTAAATTTACTCCCCTGTTAAGTGAGAGCAGAATATAGCCTCCGGAGGGCAGATATGTACGATACCTGAACTACTTTCAGGAAAGTATCATGTACTTGGAATGATTTAAAGGAGCAGTTCTCAAGCAGGATTCTGGGGCCCCCTGGGGGGCTGCAAGCAGGTTTCAGGGGGTCTGTCTAAATAAACCAGAGAGCAGGGCTGGCATTAGACTTGCTGGGGCCCCGGGCAGAAAACCAAAGCCCAAGCCCTGCCACCCAGGGCTGAAGCCAAAGCCTGAGCACTTTAGCTTTGCAGGGCCCCCTGTGGCCTGAGGTCCCAGGCAATTGGCCTGGTTGCCACCCCCTACTACCGGCCCTGGCTCTTAATCTACTGGATATGCAGAAAAACAGTTGTGGCACCCGTGGGCTGTGGAATTTTTATAGCATGTTGGGGGTGGGGGGGTCCTCAGAAAGAAAAAGGTTGCAAACCCCTCATTTAAAGCACTGACCTGTTCAGTGATCTTTAAAAAATGTAAACAAAATGATTCATTGCTCTTTATTTTCTAAAAGGTGAAACTTCTGTCTTGTGCTTAGATCTGTGTGTGCCTTGGAGAGGTAGATTTTTAAATAGTATCTGGCATTTGTGAGTCAACTGGGAACTCCGTCGTATCCTTTAGCAACAAAGAGCATCTGACTACCAGACTGCTGACTAGAAGACTTGTGGTTACTCTCACCCCACCCTTCATGGAAGGGAAAGTGGCTGCCAGAGAAAAATGTCATTGTTGATTGGCTTAAATACATGAATTGCCTTTATTGACTACATGCTTTTAAAGAAATGGTCAAAGTTCCCAGTTAGCTAATGAATGAAGCACAATGGATTAGTGGTTAGTGCACTGGGACTGGTAGTCATGAGACAGATGTGATTCCCATGTCAGCCACAGACTCATTGTGTAGCCTGACTCTGGGTAAGTCACTTCAGCGCGCTCTGCCTCAGTTTCCCCATCTATAATGCTGTCATTATGTTGGATTTCATTGTAGTATCCAAATGTTCCTAAAAGAAGCTCCAAAGCAGACAATTAAAATCACAGCAAATGTAAATGTTTTGTCAAAAGCTCTTCTGAGAGGAAAGGATTTTAACCCTGATTTCCTCAGCAGGTACAAGGCACTTTTCATCTGGCAATCTGAAAGCACGAATCCCAAGCAGACATGGGTGCCTCTCTCTCTCTTTCTCTGGCCTGTCAGTCAGGTGCCCAAATACCTTTGTAGATCTGGGCCCTATGCCCTGCCCCTCTTCTCTCCATTTTACTCCTGGCTAACTTAGATGGGTCCCCACTCTGCCTACTGGCTTCTGGGAATCCCTTTCTTAGGCAATTAAGTCTCCCCATACAATACAGGAGGAACCTGGGTGCCTAACTCAGGGCTAAGAATTCCACTAGTCAGCAGGGAGCCTAAGATCCTTGGTGAAATCTAGCCCCAGCAGCCCTAGTCCTATCAATATTTGGGAGGTTTTCTTGTACCATTGTTGACCCCTGAGCATTACCTTCATTTCTGCCCTAATTCTAGCAGAGTCCAGAAACAACAACCAAAAATACATTTGATCAGGAATGTATTACTTATTAAATCTCCTTGTCCTACATCTGTTAGGCATGAGCCAAGGGCTTCAAACTGTCCATTTGGGGACTAGGCAGCTGGCTGCTTGACCTCCCTCAAAGGGATGGGCCCTCTCAATAAATAACTGATGGGTAAATAGTACTTGGAGGTTGGGAAGGTCATGAATGGCAGGGGTGGGGGATGACAGTTTCCTTGTCTGAGACAAGGACAGCTGGCGCTGAGGGGACACTTAATTCAACACTTCCAAAGAAGTGGAAAGCCTGGGTGTGGAGTGGTGAATCTGCTGAGAGCAGCAGAAAGGAAAGGTTCCATGGGAACTGGGAGAATAGTTAGTCAATAGTGGGTGTATTGGGATTGTGGGAGAAGCGTAGTGATTGTAGCATTTGGGGTGAGAGTGGCAGCATGTGAAGCACTGGAACAGCTGCTCCAGAGTTGACACTCAAGCAGAAGATGCTGCATCAGTGTGGAAGAGCAATGCAGAGGGACCCCAATGAGTCATACCACAGAACTGAACTCTGACCAATTACCTCTACTGCATGAATGGATTAAGATATTAAGACCCCAACCTTCTTTTGAACTGTCCCACAAAGGTTAAACTGAGAACTACTCTGAGCTGTTTCGGGAGCCTAGAGAATTTGTCCTTTTCTGTCAGCCTTAGTAAATTAGTATTTCATTTGCGCTGCGTGTCAGAGCTTTTGGGACCCACTAGCTGTTGCAGTCCTCACAGCTGAAGTTTCTTTAATGCTTTCCTCTGAGACACAGTACATCTGTATCTGAGAAGGGATGATGTACCATAGCACTCCAATGACCCCATCAGGTGAGTGTAATCACAATTGTCTTAGGGAAAATTTTAAAAAGTCACTTGATTGTGACAGATAGGACACTAACCTGCAATATCCTGGACAAACCATATTGAATTAAATTAGTATTATAGGAGTTCATTGAATTAAAAATGCAAAAATGTATGTGTGATTGAGGGATTGTACATAATTCTATGGGGGAGGGGGAACAGGGCTGGCCCACAACATTTTGGCACCTAAGACGGGGAGCTCAAATGACTCCCCCCTGCCCCTTCGCTTGGGGCAAAACTTTGAGAGGTCTCAATTCTGCCCTTTTCCTGTTCTACTCCTCTCATGGTACTGCTCTGCTACCTACCCCAATAAAGGAGAACTAACAATTTAAAATGCCAGGACCCAATCTTTCCTGAAGCACCCCTGCTCATCAAGGTGCCTCCTTAGTCAATGTATACAGAGCGTCTTTCTCCATCCTGTGATATACCAAATCAGTCTTTTGTCTTTATTCACCAAACAGGGGGATCCACTCAATGTCCTATAATTCCTTTTCATATTCAAGTGGTTTTGATGCTTAATTTGTCTTCGATGGTTTTTCCATTGATTTTTTTTTTCTGGGTTGGTGCCAAGGCAGACAATGAGTATTGCAATACATAATCGGCTAGCCCAGGATGGGCGACAACTCCCTCCTGCTTGAATTGTCCGTCACCGAGACATTATTCCCTAGTCATTCACTTTCCCTCCAAGACCATAAAGGCATAATTTTCAATACAGTTACATTATTCCTTATATATCACCCGTACACACATCTCACACTGATTATGGGTATTGATAAGTTACAAGTTTTCAACAGAGACATCACATGCTGCCCATCATGGGTGAATACCATGAAAACAGTGTGTTAGGTGTAGTGATTTTGTCAGGTCTAGACAGGAGTTGCTTGTAGAGAACAGTGACGTTTTTGCCAGTTGGCAGCAATGGGCCTCTGTATCACAGTGACCAAGTGTCATGTGATGGCAAACTGGAGGTAGGTGCAGATGGCCAGACACTGAGGTCAGTGGATGGACAGGGGTTTTGGGGGAGATGTTTTCAGAAAGCAGGAGCTTCAGGCAAGAGGTATTTCAGGAAAGGCCACGCAGCAATCCTAGTTTTCACAGGGCTGTGAAGCCTGGCTGCAAGGAACTCTGGAGCCTAGGGAATAAGGCTGGAAGATCTGAGTTGAGTTGAATTGTTTGTTAATAAGCAAGGCCCAAAGAAGGGAAATGTTATAGGCTGACTTGCAGCACATAACATGTGCATTCTTTGAGAAGCTGAGAAGAAGAAATGGCGGCAGTAGACATATGATGAGAAGGGGGTGTACCGACCCCATTACACCACCTAACCCTCTTTTTTCCCTACAGGTGAAGCCACAGCTGGAAGGGAAAGAGAACAAGACGTATCCAGTCTATGTAGCCCTAAAATATAAAACTCAGGTGGTTGCTGGAATAAACTACTTCATTAAGGTCAGTAGTCAACAAAATCCCCCTCTTCTTCCCTCATTGCTTAAGTGTTCTAGTTGAAGAAGAATGTACTTTTGAGTGCCTTAAAGCAAAATGTTCAAATAGTGAGCAAACATTGCAGGAAAAGATCCCATATGACTTTTAATCAAGGTAGGGACTATCTCTCGTCTGCTTCTGCAGTGCCCAGCCAGTACCCGTTGGGTGCTATTTTGATACAAAAATAGAAAAGATAAACAACTTGTTTTGTGAATCTCATTTAAATCTTCTCAGTATTTATAAGCACGAGTCACACTCCTACAGCTGTATATTGTAAAATTTTAGGATTGCCAAGAGGGCGATCTCTATTCAAGACTCTCCAACTGCTTTCTTAACTCTCATCCTCAGAGCTGGCCTTAGGTGGTGTTTGGGCAAGCTGGCAAAACAATGGCTTCTCCTTCCTGCTGTCTCCATGCCCTGAGAGGAAATAGAATCCTGTTCACCATGATCAGCCCACTAGGCACAGGGCCAGCCTGGGGCTTTTGGGGAGTGTTACTGAGAGGTACACACCTCAAACTCCTCTGAGCAAATTTAAATACAGTTTGTGTGTGTGTGTGTTTGGGAGCGGTGAGTCTTATGTCCCCACAACCTTCTGCTGCAGAAGTACAGTCCAGCCCCTTGTTCCTTTGATCCGCTTGCATTTTCCAAGGCTCGCTCTTAAGGGAAAGAGCTAGAAACTTTTTTTAATGATAGCGGAAATGTCCCCCTTCCCTAATATTTCCTCAAAACAGTGGGTTCTGTGGTCATAGGCTGCCTGGGGCCCAAAAGCCCAGTCTGCTCCTTCTCTCAGAGAAATGGTGGGTCTTTTTAGCTCTATTATTGTGAGAAGGCCTTGTCGAAGGAGTTGGGTTTTCATTGTGCTCTGCACACTCCTGGCCCAGGTCTGATTCTGATCTCCTGTGGCAATGAGTTCAGTCATTTAGAACCATCTGTTAAGAACGTTCTGCCTCCTGCACCTGACATTTCCCCAATAGATTACCAGTGAGAGCAGCTCTCTGAGGGACATGGATAGAGAGGTTTTCTAAGGTAGGTGGGGATTGCAGCCCCTAACTTCTAGGTGCTTAGTCACCCACTGAAATTCACAAACCCTGAATTAGGTGTTCAGGCTCCCTACACAATGGATGGGGAAAGTTTGGAGTCGAAGAACAGAATCCACAAAAGCATGCACACTGAATGAGGAGATGCTTAAGCTAGCCAATGGGAAATACTGAGGAGAACGGTGTCTGTCCTGAGTGCTTCCCCTCAAAGGAACTTGGTTATCAACTCCAGTCCGGAGTTAGGCACTGTGATGGGATCCCCCGAGTACAACCTGGAACTGGGGTACTACTGTGCCCTCTTAACTCTCTAGCCTGGGCTGTCTCTCACAATGCTTTGGTACTGACAAGCAGAACCCCCCCCCCCTCCCCCCTGACACTGTTATCACTCAGCACAACAGCACATGGAGCCCCACACCCAGCTAAATTGCATGAATGCTCCCTGACCCACTCACGAATCACACAGAGAAAGGCACCAGCAAATCTCCCAAGCCCCCAGCCTTGCAGCCCGGAACTATACCGTCTTGTCCTGGTCAGAAACCTGATCAGTGTAAGTTTATTATCCAGTCTGCCCCTCCCTCAATGTGGAGAGGACACTCACTAGCCTTTGTAAACTGAGCTGAGATTTCCCAAGCACTTCAACCAAAACACACTGCTTTAGGTAAAATATAAAACAGATTTATTAACTACAGAAAGATAGATTTTAAGTGATTATAAGTGGTAGGCATAAAAGGTCAGAGATAGTTACCAAAGAAAATAAAAGATAATCACACAGTCTAAATCTTTTATTAGACTAGGCAGTATTTGGACCAAGCAGTTTTCTCACCAAACTAGATGTTAAGTTCTTAATACACAGGCTTCCCCTTTAAGCCTGGGACAAGTCTCCTCAGTTCAAGGCTTTGTCTTCCCAGTGTTCTTGTTGCTTCCAGCATAGGTGGGGGAGGAGAAAGGCCAAAGCATGATGCCACTGTCCCCTATTTTGTCTCCTCAGTCCATGTGCCTGGAAGACACTAGCCCAGGCATGCCTTGGTGGGCCTTGCTGAGTCACAGGGTTGAGCAAACCCCCGTTGTGGTCTTGTGCAACTGAGTCATAACGTTGAGCAGTCCCCAATGTGTGGTGCTTGCGAAATTGTCATTGAATTGTAAATCCCTTGTATACTATTCCCCTGCTGGTCAATGGCAGGTGATGATCATTCAACGCCTGCCCAGATGTTGGTAATCTCCTTTGTTGTGGTCCCTGGAGAACTAGCATTGGGTGACTTCCAAACTCACAACTATTTCATTAACAACCATACAGCAAAATCTTATAACCTCATACACACTGATATACATATTTTAACAGAACAATGGGTTTCAGCAGACCATGACCTTTCATATGATATCCTACATAGCATGCTTTGTATGAAATATATCATAATTATGACCGAGATAAATATGGGTGTTCCAGGGTGCTACTTTGAGGTACAGAGTGACACAGGCACCTGTCTCTGCTTGGGAGTCACAGCCTAGAAAAGGCAGAAGTGTTCAATAAATATTTGTGTTCTGTATTTGGGGGAAAACAGATATAATCTCTACCTATGGTGATGATAACACTCTTTCTATTCCACTAATATCTCTGGAGGATGTTAAATAGCTACTTAAGTTAGACATTTTCAAATTAGCAATATCAGATAATGTGCATCCAAGAGTTTTAAAAGCGCTGGCTGAGGAGTTCACTGGACTGTTAATGTTGATTTTCAATAAGTCTTAGAGCACTGGGAAAGTTTCAGAAGACTGGAAGAAAGCTTAAGTGCCAATTTTTAAAATGGATAAATGGGATGACCTGGGTAATTATAGACCTGTCAGCCTGACGTTGATCTTAGGATGCATAAACAGGCAAATCTCAAGTAGGAGTAGAGAGGCTATTTTGTCTCTATACTTGTCACTGGTGCGACCACTGTTGGAATACTGTGTCAAGTTCTGGTGCCCAGAATTCCAGAAGGATGTTGATAAATTGGAGAGGGTTGAGAGAAGTCATGAAAATGATTAAAGTATTAGAAAACATGCCTCATAGTGAGACTCGGAGCTCAGTCTATTCAGCTTAGCGAAGAATAAGTTAAGGGTCACTTTCATTATTTTCTATAAATACCTGCATGGGGGGGAAAACATTTAATAATGGGCTGTTCAGTCTAGCAAAGAAAGGCATAACATGATCCAATGGCTGAGAGTTTAATCGAGACTGGAAACAAGGAGTATATTTTTAATGGAGAGAGTAATTAACCATTGGAACAATTTGTCAAGGGTCATGGTGGATTTCTCCAGAGCTGAACATTTTTAGATCAAGATGGGATGTTTTGCTAAAAGATCTACTCTAGGAATTATTTTGGGGGAGTTCTATGGCCTGTGTTTTACAGGAGGTCAGACCAGATAATCATAATTGTCCCTTCTGGCCTTAGAATCTATTAATCTATGAAAAAGCCTTCTCCTGGCATCAGATGCCTGAGCTATTTCTTGCAAGACAAGGGGTGGCACAAGTCTGACTTCCCACAAAACAGCCAGAGGGGAAAGGAGGAGCAGGCTGACTTCCTTACAACCTTTAGGCCAGTGGTTAGGGCACTTGCTTGGGAGGTAGAAAACTCTGGTTCAATTCCCCTCCTTTGCCTGGTGGGGAGAAGGGATTTGAAGATGGTCTCCACATGTCAGGCATGTGCCCTAGTTACTGAACTACAGAGTCACTCGCTCTCTGTTTGGGCCAGTGCATATTTAATTAGTTATACAGTGGAACAGCTTCAATGGGAGACTCAGAGCGCCTCTGCCTCAGATTATCCTATAGCCCAGTGGTTAGAACATTCCTCTGACAGGTAGAAGACCCATGAACAACTCCCTTTGTCTTGTCATGCAGAAGGGGGAATTGAATGGGGTCTCACATGGCCCACGTGACACCACTGGGCTAAAGGTCATGAGGGAGGTTGTTCTCCTCCATATTTTGTGGCGTCAGGTGTGCTCTGAGCACATCTACTGGATCAGGCCCTGCAGGTAAGCCAGGCATGACAAAGCCCAGTATGAGAATCCCGCTGGGGGTTAGGTGTCTAGGCACCTGCTTGAGACACTAGTGCACATGCCCAGTGGCAGAAACGTAGGCAACTAGGGGACTTTTACAGCAAAAATTTAGGTGCTGAGGTTATATAGGCACCTCCAGAGTTACGTGGCAGCTGAGTGGGGGTTTTGTGAATACCAGTAGTGCTTAAATGTTTGGGTGGTTTCACAAAAGAGAGACTTAAAAAAACAGGATTTTTTTTTTTTTTTTACAACAGGCGACAACTTGCAGGGGATGGAATTTGAATTTGTGTTTCTTACCTCCCAGCTGAGTACCCTAAGCAGCAGGCAATGGAGTCAATCTCTTTGTTTCTGGCCCACTGATTATTTCTACCCAGTGGAACAGCTTCAATAAGCAAGACAGAGAAACCTCCTCTTGAATACCTCATAGCCCACTTGTTAGAGCACTCTCCTGAGAAGCAGGAGACCCCAAATCAACTCCCTTCTGCACATCAAATGAGGATGATATTGAACCCAGGTCTTCCATATCCCACCTGAGTACCCCCAACCACTTGGACTAAAAGTTATAAGGTGGGACAGAACCATCTCCTCCTCTGGCCATTTTGTAAATCTATCCCCCCCCACCCCCAAAACCAAAAAGAATCAATTTGGAAATATTGAAACAGTTTGTCAGCATTTCCAAAAAAATATTTTTTTTATTTGGGAGACAGTCAAAATTCACAGAAACTCACAAATAGTTTTGGTAGATTTGAAACTGCATTTTTTTTGGTGAATAAAATATCTGTCTGAAAAATCTTCACCCAGCCCCGGTGAGGGTGTTGGCTTACTTCACCCCAGCATTCAGCTTTCTTTGCCTCCTGCCCCAGTGTCTTTGCATACAGCTCTGGCCTTCCTAGGGAAAAAAGGGTTAACTCTTTCACTGCCAGTCTAGGCATGGGATCTGAGTGAAGTCAATGAGACTTTGCCTTAGAAAAACTGATTGAAAACTTTTGGGTTTAAATATCAGATTTTTTTGTAAAGAAAACTCTCATTGACTTCACTCAGATGCCCAAGCTTATGTGCAGAAGATGAAGTTGTTTAGTGGGAAGGATAATTTTGGGGCATGAAGAATATGACCTAAATTCAGCCCAGGCATAAATAGGTGCAACTCCTGGAGAAACCAGTGGAAGTGACGCCTTCTTATGGCAGGTTGAACTTGGCCTTGTGAGTGCAGGGATAACATTTCTATTTTCTGATCATCAGGAACACCCTAATTTGGACACACGAGCCCATTTCTGCTCACACGTGATATGAAATGGGACAGTCTCTACAGATCAGGTTTAGGGTATTGAATGGTACCGTGTATGATTTAATTTTTATTTTGCCATTCAAAGGTTCAGCATTTCATCTCCCCAAAACTTCCTTTCATTAGAATTTGCTTAGTCCACGGCTGTCCCATTCTCCTTGTCTTTCAGGTCTCCATCAGCAAAAGCAACGATGAGTGTGTACACTTGAGGGTTTTCCAAAGCCTTCCTCATGAGAACAAGGGGCCCAGTCTTACCAGCTATGAGACTGGCAAAACCAAAAATGATCCATTGGAGCCATTTTGAATGAGATGCTTGGGATCGGCTCTTCTGTTGCTCTTTCTGCAGACTCCCAGCTGATACCGCCTGTGCCAATACATGAATGAAAATAAAATTAATCTGATTTTGAAAACTAAGTTTGTGTTTCCGTGTTGCATGTAACAGAAGGTCTGTCTTGATAGCAGCAGTTACTTACTGCTGGAAACTTATGACAGGTCTCCAAGGAAATGTACTGCATCTCCCCAAAACATGCTTCCATTAGAATCTGCTTAGTCCATGAGCTTGACTGTCCTATTTCTCCTGATTTGCTGCTTTCTCTAAATGAGTAGTATTATTAGCAGAATCTTTCACAACAAAGACACCACCACCCACAACTACCGCATCCCCATCGGCAGTCACAAGAAAAAAAGTCATCTGATTGGACACCCCACAGTGGAGAAAAGCACACAGTGGATCATTACATCAGTTGCTTCAGGAAAAAAAATCAACTGTGAAATCCTCAGACATGCATTACATCGGGGTGGCCAAACTTACTGACCCTCCAAGCCGCATACAACAATCTTCAACCCCACAGGAGGTGCCTGCCAGGGGCCAGTGTTTCAGCCCCACTCCTGCTGAAGCCCTGAGACCTCTTCTCCCCCCCCCCCCCGTAGCAAGGCAGAGGTCCCGAGCTCCCCCCGCACCTAGTCTGGTAGGTGGAGAATGGGGGAGGGGGTGCCATGGGGGGCTCTGCAAGCTGCACTTTAACAGTAAAAGAGCCACATGTGACTCACGAGCCACAGTTTGGCTACCCCCACGGGATAGTCCCTGAAATCCAACCACCAGATCATGATCAAACCAGTAGACAAGGGGGCACTATTGTAGTCCCTAATCATGATAACTTCGTCAACGAGATCAACAGACAAGTCTCTGACACCATCTACTATAAAGAACTAGAAAAAGACCCCACACCATAACTCACACAGGAACTTAAAGAAACTATCAAATCTTTCCCCAAGTAACTCTTTCAACAAGTAATGGGGGGAGGGAGGTGCAGGGACACACATGGACAGGGGCAGATGTGCCTGACTGAATGGGAGAGGCTCGGGGTCAGTCAGGGTCTGCATGGGGGAAGGCTCCCCAACTCTATCACAATTCCCCCCGCCCCCACAAAGAAACTATTCCGTACTTCTCCCATCCACACCTAAAAGCCTTCCAGGTTCACACCCATATATGCAGAATTATAAAATTCTGCACACAGTATTTTATAATTTTCTGGCACAGAATACCCCCAGGAGTATCATAGACAAATCCACCATATCACCTCTAGGCGAACACTTTTCACAAAGTGATCACTTCATATCTGGTCTTTCAAAACTCGTTCTCAAAGGAAACCTGCACAACACCTTATAATGCTGCTAGAAGCTAAAGACCATGGATTTAATAGGGGATGTTAATTTCATGGCTTGTTGCAACAATTTGTAACCGCACCTGCCTGCTAACTCTTAATGGCCTACTTCAAACTCCTTTTACATAAGTCTAACCTTTATTGCCCACTTCATTTCAAGTGGCCTCCTAAGACATGCATTACCTTTATGCTTAATAATAGTCCCAACTTGTATTTAGATTAGACACTCTGATTTTTTTCTTTCCCTTAACTCATTGTCTCGAAAGCTTGTACCATCCATCAACAGAAGTTGGTCCATTAAAAGATATGACTTCATCTACTTTCTCTCTCTCATATCCTGGGAGCAACATGGCAACAACAAGTTGACAATGTCTCTTTTAACATACAAGCTCAAAATGCCCAAATACAATTGGGGGAATTGTTGCTATAGTGTAAATTTCCCATTTGTGGGATGGAAAAATTCTCTCAATCAGTGCAGTAAATACATTCTTTTGTGTCCCCAAGCAAACACACTTGCAGCTTATGTGACTGTGCAACTTGATGCTCAGAGTGATGTCAATATACCAGTATATAAACTGCACTGAGGTATTTACGATCTCCCTGATGCTTCCAGGGATACCAGCACCACCTACACATTCAAATGTGGTGTCTTATATCCTAAGCAGTTGTCTATTTCAAGACCCTGGGCCATAGATTTGGAATCCACATCTTGGTGCCAGGGCCGGCTCCAGGGTTTTTGCCCCCCCAAGCGGCGCGGGGGGGAGGGGGGAAAAGCTGCCATCATGACTTTGGCGTCAGCCCCACCGCGCTGCTTTCTTCTTCGGCGGCACTTCGGCGGCAGGTCCTTCCCTCCGAGAGGGAACGAGGGACCTGTCGCCAAAGAGCTGGACGTGCCGCCCTTTCCCCTTGGCCGCCCCAAGCACCTGCTTGCTGCGCAGCTAAAGAATGACACATAACGTACTGTGCTGGGCTTCCTCTCCCCCATTAGGTGAGCTGAAGGTGGGTGGGGTTTGAGAGAGACACTGGTGTTGCCATCACTCAGGGAGGCACTGCTGTGTTAGGGCCCCAGGCCCAGATCCTCAAAGGTATTTAGGAAGCCAGTGGGAGTTAGGGGACTGGATACTTTTCAGGATCTGGGCACTAGACACAAAGTTGGTTGGATTTTTAGATAATGTTGACTTGACTCTTTCCCTTGGATACCATTGATATTAAACCCGTCTCAGAATTGTGGGATGGGGAAGAAATGAACCCATGCCGGCAAAGAGAAGGTGAGCAGCTGCCACAGCTATAACCAGCAGCTGATGAAGTGGGTATTCACCCACGAAAGCTCATGCTCCAATACATCTGTTAGTCTATAAGGTGCCAGAGGACTCTTTGTAGCTATAACCAAGAAAGGCCAAAATGGAGCAGGCCAGTTCACAGCCACCACCATTCTCCATCCCTATCCCAGAAGAGCAGGGTGAGGATTGTTCCTGCTGTCTGGAATTCACATATCAGTCAGGTGTGAGTCCTCAGGTTGTGCACACAGGGTTTCTGGTCAGGGTCTGCATCACTGAAAAGCAGCATGTCACCCTGTCGATGTCCTAGGACATCGACTGACACCTCCCTTTGCCCCCAGCACAACAGAATCTGATCTGTGCCACCGTCATCTTCACAGTCGATATCTTTCTCCACTTCATCATCATCCACCATCACCCTGCAAGTTTGCCTTCAACTATCTCCCACAGGCCAGCACCCTGCTCTATGCCCTTCCCATGGCTGGTAGCAACAATAACCAGCAGTGCATTCCGCTCACAGTATCCCTCCCCCAGCACCATCCATGCCTATCCCTCCCCACTCCACTGATGAAGCCAGGATGCCAAGGGATCCCATCCCAGGCCCATTTCTGCTGATGAGGCGGCCCTTGACCAGAACCCCAGCATGGCTTTATTCTCCTTGTCAACCAGAACAAGGCCATGGTGTGGGAAATACTGGGTTGAAATGGGCACATGCAAGAGGCCTCACAAGTGTGCTGGGGCACAGGGATCGAATAGCAAGGCCCACATGAGCAATTACATTAAAAGTAGGGTGGACCTGGCCATCTCAGCCTTGGCTGTAAGGTTGGAATGGAATAGAAGATGCAGGACCTCCTCAGGATCCGATGACACCTTCATGGACTGTTCTAGCAAATGGAGTTTGAACCTTGTAGCTTGCAACTTACTCAGTTTGCCTGTCACTTTTGCTAGGTAGCACATTGCCCACCCAATGATCCAGGTAAGGGATCTTTGCTGCACCAGCCTACACTTTGACACCTTGAGTGTGAGGCCTGTCTCCCTGAGGCTTCTCAATACTTTCCCCACCTGTGCTTTGTGCTCCTCCCTGGTGTCGCTAAATATAGTGATATCATCAACATAGCTGATAGCAAAGTCCTCGAACCCATGTAATACCTTATTAACCAGCCTCTGGAATGTGGCTCTTGCATTAATTAATTAGAAGGGTAGTACTTTAAATTTAAAAAGTACAAAATCAGTAATGGATGCAGACTTCTTCTGTGACTCTCTATCCAAGGAAATTTACCAGAATCCCTTGGTTAAATCCATAGTAGCTGTATTAGGAAGCGAGCCTGAGACATAAGCCCTTGCATCAGAGGCCTGGTATGAAGCAGGATCTGCTCACAGAATTGGGCAAGAAGAGGGCTGATATTGCAGAAATACACATTCCTAAGAAGTGCTAATCACAAAGTACTTGTGCAAACACATCCCGATATTAAGTGGTGCCAAAACATTTCAGAAGAGTGGTACCAGAGCATCCCGATATCAAGGATGGTACAAAAACATTCCCCAAATATAACAAGAACACACTGACCCCTCCTAAAAGATAAGGTCAGGATGACAGTACGTAATAGTGATGTTTTGATTGAACCAACGTGTACAAGGTCATGGGTGATAACTAGCCACATCAGAGGGCAGTAACTATGTCAGAGGCAGTATGTTACTTGTTTGTATCAGGGTATAAAGACGTATCTCAGAGGGAGTATCTTTGTCCAGCCGAGGTGGGGGGGAATGGAAAGTCTTGCCATTCACTGAGCTGCGTCCATTGTCACAGGCATATATGTCTTAGTATCCTCATAGAGTCTGCCAGGTGCTATTACCATGCTTTTTTGACAATAAACCTGTGGTCATTGGGTGGTTTGCTCGAGGTCTGCTGTGCCAGCTGTCTGTGCAGAGCTGGGGCAGCATACAGGGAGAACACACATATGCAGCCGAACATCTAACAACAGTAGCTGATTGTCACACCATATTTCATGTATCATTTTTGTAGTAATTTTTCTTGACCTCAACACCCCAGATTTTTACAAAGATTTGCATGAGCAAGGGCAGATAAGGAGTATACCACCTCATAGAAACATTGATTTTGGAATCATTTCCTTCTCTGCATCCAGAGTATTGTGAATTCCCCATAAAACTTTTGACATTGATATTATCCAGTTCTACCTGAGAGAACCTGGGAGTATTTCCCAGAATAGAGGAGTCCTGAGGAAGTCTCAGTGGATATGTCTCAAGCTACATTGTGTGTCACAATTCCTCCCAGTTCATTTGAGTCAGTTACTTATTTTCCATAATCTTGGTAAGAGGTTAAACATGGCTTTTGCAGGCGCTGATATTAAC